ATTATTTTTGCCATTAAGGATATATTTGGATTTCCTTATTTTATGAATTCACATCTTATGTTCACCATTTCTGATTGCTGTATTTCAGATTGTCATAAAAAACCCAATCTAATAATTAGATGACATATACCATTGACTCTGCTTTTGCATAAAGTAGGCAATGAAAATGTCAAAGGAGAACAAACAATAGTCCTGTTTTTTCTTCTGGAATGTTGGCACATACATATGCTAACCGGTTCTTGAAGTAGATGCTGTCAAATCTTGAAATGCACAAGTAGCAAGCAACATGTTTCGTTTGTTTGTCATTTCACATTAAATTCATTTACTTCTTCTTATGCTTCATTCTGCCTGCTGGCAGCCATAATCTCAAAATGTTCCATCTGTGCTGCAGCCAATTTCTAGAACATAATTTGAAAGAGGTTATTAAGTCATTAACACTAGAGAAAACAAAACCAAAATGTGTGATGGTCCAGAGAGAACTTATTATAAAGCACATGATCTTTTAAAGATGGAATATCTTGATAATATAAATAGGTATAAGAGAAGGTCAAAATTTCTTTTAGCAATGCTTTTAAAACCCTATCTACGTATCTTGGTTGAAAGTATAAAATATTAATGTATTTATTAGGATTTAGTTATTTTTAACAATAAAAGGGCTTAATGCATAGTTCATAAAATATTGCAGGTAATAGTTAAATAGAAGGCAAAAATAATATTACAAGACAACTTAACTCCAAAGATTTGGGACTAATTCATCTTATAAACAAAATATTTGAATCAGTTTAATATAAGGTATCAAATTGAGTCATGTGCTTTTTGGAAACATTCAAAGCCAATTCAGAAACTCACATGGATTTCCTAGATTTGGCAGAGCCTTCAAATATGTAATCTCAGAAATAACATAGTCCATAATCCTCACAGAGGCAGGCTCATTTATGTGTAACATTAGCAGAATTGCAAAGAGAATTCTCATCTAGTTCCTAACATATATTCCATTCTCTGATAAAATCTAAGTATTTGACCCATTTAAAGTTCAAAAATTCTCTGACCTTTTTCTCACCCAAAACTAATGCTGGGGTTTTGATTCTTAATGATTCAATGGAATACAACATCACAAAAATAGAAGCTCATTCAGTCCCTTAAGGTCCTCACCCCAATAGATGTGTTTCAGAATAGATTTTCAAAACCTGTTGCGTATGCAGTTGGAATTTTTTCCCTCCTATTTTAAGCTATGGAAGAAGATATGTTAGCAGAAGAGAAGAATTGCCTTTAACTATGCATTAGTCTGTATATATTTCATCAGTGAGAATGATGTCATTTTAGTTTGCACTGTGCAAGAAATAGAGATTCATACATTCTCTGTATAAACTAAAAGAATAAAGATGAAATCTATATTCTACATTTACTTCTAGAAAAATGTAGTGGCTATAGCTATTTATACAAAATTATATTGGTGATCTAGTTCAGCTTTGATCCTGCTGACTGTATCAAACCCTCAAGGTATTTATTCCCTCCATTGTTTTATTTTCAAGACATCTTGATCATTTGTCACAGAATGTATTTTGTATTATATCTCAGCACTCTTCGTTACTCTCATTATTTGGTTAGAGGAAGCCTAAAATCTGATGTTGGAGAGAACATTGATGTTGTATGAAATGGAGACAGAAGGGATTAAGTTGACAGAAGAATATTAGTTCACACATTAGATGTAGGAGATGACCAGACTAAGTCCAAGTGAGGGGTCAAATGCATCCTCAGTCATGAGTCCCCTCGCACCCACAAGAGTTCTAAGTCCAGTCCATCTTAAATTCCTTTGACTCCTACCCACAATTGGTTTTGGCCATTAGTAGTTCAGATTCTTGTAGAGAGCGGAAGCTTGCAATAAAACTTTGTAAAACTTTGAACTGCCTGGATTTTCTGATTTCCTGGGGTTTGACACTAACATTTGTTTTGTGCAAAAACAGTTTGTGGGAATATGAAACAATATAGAAAAGGGGATGTAAGTATACAATATATAGGGATACATTCCAAAAGTAGAAAGTAAAATAGATGAACTTCATGGGATTTGCATGAACCACTATGTAGGCAAAAAGGGCTGAAGTATTTTTTTAAGTCCAGGCAACAAGATAACATTGGATATTGCTGCAACAAATGCCTGCTTGATTCACTGACATATATGGAAGAGGAGGAATAGTACAATTAGCCTTGCACAATTTTGTTATTATAGCCAAACTCAACAGAAGTTTTTTTTTTACCCCTCTTGTGGAGATGATTTCCTCATCTGCTCTAGCTAGTGGAGCTGACACCAAGCAAAAATTTATCATTTTTAGTAGATTTTACATCCAAGTTTTTGAACTTTGGTGTTGGAGAAGACTCCTGAGATTACCATGGGCAACTGAGAAAGCAAATAAATGGAGCATTGAACAAATAAACTCAGAGTTCTCAGTCAAGGCACAATTTATCCTACTTTAGATACATTATGCAAAGACTTAATCTCCGGAGAAGGCTGTAATGCTGGGAAAGGTAGAAAGAAAGAGAAGAAGAGGATGACCACCAGTAAGATGGATGGACTCAGTTATAGTGGTGTGGGGGCACCATTGGAAGAACTAAAAGACTAGGTTTTAGCCAGATCATCATGGAGAAAAATCTATCTATGTGATTGCTAAGAGTCAACAACCACCTGATAACACAGAATGAATCAATCAACATCAAAATTCAGAAGTTGTGAAACTGAACAATGTACACATCCAATGTTCCATCCAAAACTCTAAGAATTTCATTCTTATCAACAAAGGAGGATATTTGTTGCTCAGGGCAAACCCATTCCTTCCTAGTACTGATGATATTACCTAGTTTGGGAAATGAAACATCTATAAGAAAATAACCAAGCTCAGAGAGCCCCAAGGACACTTAATTTCATTCCTGCTAAGAGTCCAGTTAGATTTCTTTTTTTAATGGCATTAGGAAAAACAGCCTCCTTCTTCCATTACTCTGTTTCCAATCCATGTTTCTTGAGCCTTATTTCTCTGTAGCTTCATTAATTTAAATGATTTTCATTAAGAAAGAGAAATACAATAGCCAACATTTGTAATAACTGCAGCATAAATCTCATATATTGGTATAGTCTCCTTTCAGAATTTGTATTATGAGGCTTTTCAAAGATTATATTACCTAAAAACATAATGTGCAGCAGCATCTTTCCAAACATCTTTTGAAGCTGGTTTATTTTTTTTTTAAAGAACACCAATGTCAACATTGCAATATAAATAGAAGATTGAGTATTGCAGGCTGTTTGCACCCAATTTTCTATCTTTCCAAAAAATGATCTAAACTTGGTGTCCTTTGCATAAACATCTGATACTTGGCCTGCTGGCAACATTACACAAAGAATGAAAACTCAGTTGGATGATGATGATATCAAGTTACATATAACTGATCTACTCCCACAAACACTGATGACCCTACAGTTCAGATGATCCTTATCATTATGACCATTCTCACCAATTTGGTTCTAAGAATTGCCAAATTACTCAAGGAAGTTTCACATATCCCAATTTTTTTTTTAAAAAAACCACTCACTAGCCTTTTATCTAATATCTTCATAGTGGCATATTCTATCCAAATTTGATTAACTGATGTCAAAAAGTCAGGTTCCATCCTTTTATGCTGACATCGGCTTCTGTAAGTCTAGCATGGGTGATGTACTGACGATCTGTGACAGTTTAAAATAAGCTTGGAGATACCATATCTCAAAGTCATTTTTCTCTCAGCACTATTCCATAGGCATTTATGTTCCTCTTTGGGTGGGTGGGGGGAAACCAAGATAATTTACCAAAATGAGCCATCAATGTCCAAACCACTAAATCTAGAAAGCTTTAATCTCAATTTAGTTTGTTTATATTTAATTTAAAATGCATAAAGGCAGGCAAAAAGCTTTAAAATATATTACTTCCAAGCCTCATTTGTATATTGCCTTAGAAAACAGTATCTAATTGGCACTGCTAACTGTGCCTTATAAAGATGTTTTCATAACCAGTATTTTTTCCAAGATATTTTATCTTTAGCCTACATTTGGAATTGCATTTATCACACAATTAGCTGATTAGCCACATTTTTTCTAACACACACACACACACACACACACAAACCAGAAACAATGTTTAGCTCTTTAAAAAGGCACATGTCAAAATATCATGGATCATGCCCTTAAGCATAAATAGGCAATATGTAACTTTCACTGCCATCTGACATATTTATCTGAAGTGGGAATTATCTAAATAATTGAGTAGAAGACTAAGATCTCACAATTTTTCAGCAGAATCTACTGGGAAACTCTGTTATAAAAGGCTATCCTGGAATCTCCATAGAATTAGATATTCTGCTCTAATAGAATATCTTGAATGAAAGCAAAAGAACCAGGGGACCACAATGCACTACAACTGCTTCTTTATTGCTATATAAAGATGAAGTGGCTGGGCAGCTAGAGTTTGAGTGCAGATTTCAAGAAGGAAAGAAAAGGTGAACTGGACACTGTTCATCGGTATTCTATATGGGACATGATGCAAGTATCTGTTGTTGCCTGCTAGAAAACTCCTTTCCTCTGGGAAGCTGATCCAAGATATTTTCTCTTGCCTGCTAGAAAAGATTCCAACACCCAGTCTTGTTGATGTGGACCACCACTTTTGAGGTTCTATATTTGTCACTCTGTGTCTTCTTCTAACTCTTTTTAATGAACCTGCATGCTTCCTATACTTCAACTAGCATAATTATTAATAACTCAGTGTTGAGGTCGTTTTGGCCAGGGTGCTAATTTCATCTGACGGAAAGGAATCAGAGAAATAAATTCTTAGCAACATGCCAGAGAATCACTTCTCTGGTTCTCAGATTTCAGAAATTTCCTAGGTCTATTTTCTTGAAGTCCCAAGTCAAGGGCAATTTTTAAATAACTGTACTTGATAATATCTCCCCTCTCTTAACCCTTTTCTCTCTTTCTCTCTTAGGCTGTATCTCAAGGGTCATTCTGGAACAGCAGGGAAACAAAGCAGTCTGATATTACATGGTGCTGACTTTAGTACCAAAGATGCTGACAATGACAATTGTATGTGCAAATGTGCTCTTATGCTAACGGGAGGTAAGCATCCATTTACAAAATCATATATAATGTTTGGATGAAATAACGGGAAGGAAGAGAACGTGATTACACTACTTCTGAATGATTTTTTTCATTCATATTTTTCAAGGGATTTCAGTAAAGTTTTAACATGGCAAATCCCAAGCTTTCTCTGTTACTAAATCCTGTACCCTTGGCTTTCTTTAATAGTTCAGTTTACTTTATGGTCATTGCACCTTGTACAACGAAACTAAGTACCATCTTTATATACATTATGGCTATGAAAATAAACACAAACACAATCCTTCACATTCTATACATTGAATTGAAAACTACTGGTATTGCATTAATATTGCAGTATACAGTAGAATTCAATAGAGTTATTGTCCTGGAATAGAAACTGTTTTTCAGCCTATTTGTCCTTGTTTTTATTATCCTGTACCGTCCGGTAATAGTTCAAAAAAGAAAAAAAGGGTGCGATGGATGGTTGAGATGGATCTTTGAGAATGTTTTGAACTTTCTTAAGGCAGAAGGAGCTATAAAACTCTTCCAAAGAGGGGAGAGGGCAACCAGTGATCTTCTGGGCAATGACGTTAGCCCTCTGGAGTGCTGTCCTATCTGCCACTGTGCAATTGGCAAACCATACACAGGTGCAGTAAGTTAAGATATTCTCTATGGTGCAGCGGTAGAAGGTCACTAGCAGTTTTTCATTTAGTTGTTGTTTTCTGAGAAACTCAGATAGTATAATCTCTGCTGGGCCCTTTTGACCAGTGCTGCAATGTGAGCACCCCAGGTCAGGTCCTCTTTTATGGTAACACCCAGAAATTTAAAACTGGCCACTTCCTCCACTTGATTCCATTGATAAGCAAGGGCTGGATGTCTGATCCATAAGTAAAAGCACACACTTAAGAAAGAGACAAGAGATCAAATGAAATAATAAGTGTGATAAACTCATCTTTTGGGGCTTTTTCAGACTAGAAAGTCTGATCACCTAAGAAAATTCAGAACGAGAAAAATGTAACAGATAACACCAAAATTAGTAGCTGTACACTTCAAGAAAAAGCTGAAAAACATACTGAGGCAGCAAAAAGAAATTCTCAGTTATACTGAGAATAAGATTTTTAAAAATCCAAAAACTTCCTATTTTCAAGGCAAAATAGCTGTTGATAAATTGCAAAACAAATTTTGGAATAGTGCTAGTTTATCTTTTGGATCCCAAAAGTGTAAATGTTCCTGGTTGGGTATTAATTGAGTTTGATTAGATTGTAAAAACTCTGAATAGATTAGTGTGTATGTTTATATTTTTACCATATGCATCTTCCTACAAGATAGAAATTTAAACACTTCTCAATAATCAGACTTAGAAAGATGTATTGAAATCGCTTGGTCCCAAAACCAGTTGTTAATATAACTTAATAAAACAATTCATCTTAGAAATAATTGTATTCTGGACAGTAAAATTCCTTATCAGACTTTCTGTTGGTCTTGGCAATCCATGTAGACAGCTCATTCATTATAAATTATATAAAATATACATGAGTTCTGTAGCTATCTTTGATAGACTGCATGGAATTCTGTAGTTTCTCTGAGAAATGAAGAATATATGTGGTGAATAACAGCATGTATGAACTGAGCTGCTGATTAATCAGGGTTAACAACAATACATATACACATTGTATTTCTTATTCAATTTGATATAAAGCAGTTTCTTGTAGGGAAATTAAATCTACTTTTGACTAGATTCTCATTTCATATAAAGTTCTGTAAGGGATAGAACTTCAAAGTGTTGTGTATTTATGTGTGTGTGCGTGCATGTGTGTGTGTGTGAAAAGAGGGGAGCATAATAACACATGAATCCAATGGATATTTCTTTTTCAGAAGTAAGTTAGGGATCTTTAACGGGAAATGTTTTCCATGTATCTAGACAAATATTCCCAGAATCCTTTGTGGACATCCATTGTATTTACATTTGAATAGAACTAATGAACAACAACACATTATTGAAGATCTGGGAAAGATTCATATACATAAATAGACATCCTATTACTTATTTCCTTGAGTACATAAGGCCCCGTAGGCATTTATGCAATCATTTCTTGTGACTTTCATAAACAGCATCACACCTGGAGCAAAGATATTAAATCTACCACCTTCTACCACCCTAGCAACATTTTATGCTTCTTTTTCACTAGCATATAAAATTACAATATACCCCTTGTTTAATAAGAATTAAGGCCATCTATCATGGCCTTTGGAAATACTTTTCTAATTTTGATATAATACATGACTTCTTTTTTCTTCTTCAAGCAAGTTAGATCAGAGGCATATACTTGCTTTCAAATTAACCTAGCATAAATCCAAAGTATTTGATTGGATCTTATTTTTAGTTATAGCAGTATTGGCACAATCTGAAATCAAAAGTTGGTTTTTGTTTTTCTACTTATGAGTAGCTAAACTACTATAGTTTATGGTATGAATAAATAAAAACTAAAATCACTTTAGTGGTGTTTGTAAACCAACAAAATCAAAATATGAAAATTGTTAGCTGAATTGCTATTACAAGTATATCCAATCAATTTCAACACTTTATTTCTTTATAGCAGGAAATTACATTATTATAAGATAAAATTATACTGTAAGTCAGGAGTGAAGCTATATATATTCAGCAGTATTTAGTAATTCTAATTCTTAATTAGCTATATCTTGTTTCTGACCATTAAATTTGTAAATTTTGTCATGGTGTGTTACTATCCTGTTCTATAAATAGGTGAAGAAGAAAAAAGTGTATTATTATTTAATCTGTATCCAATCATTGTTTATCATATAGCTAGGTATGTATTTCTTCATTTATTCATCAAATATACATGGCCGTCCACCTCAGGCAGTCTTACAATAAAAATATAAAACAATAACAATATATAAAAAACAGAAATTATTAAACAGTGATTTAAAAATCATAAAAGATACAAGAGTTTAGAAGTTAACAGCAATAATGGAATCATCTCAGGATCTCACAGTTCCCCTGGGATCTCCAGGCCTGATGACGTATCAGGTTTTGAGGTACTTCCAGAAAATAAAAAGGGAAGGAGCTAACCTCCATATAATAATAATAATATACTAGTGTAGTGTAGTGCAGCATAATGTAACATAGCATAGCATAATATAATAATAAAAAATATATGCAATATACCAATTTCTTACTGCCAAAAAAATCTAATACTGTTTGGACTTTTACTCTGAGCCAAATCATGAATATGTTAGCTACTTAGCACTGGTTCTAATTTTTTGTCCACATTTTCCCTTAATTTTCCCTTTTTACTTTGTTCACATAAGGGGAAAAAAACCTGCATTTTCCCAGGAAAGTTACAATCTGAATGGGTGCCGCATTAGATTAAGATAGTATCTGATGAGATTAATCTGTGAGGACTGATTCAAACAAGCAAGTCATTACTTGTTCCTGTTGACAAGAGAAAAACATTTATGTGTGTGAACTGGATCATTCAGATCAGAGATAATAAATAGCCTCTAAGATCTGACAAAAGGGAACCTACTTAATCAAAGTAGTCAGTCATGAGCTCTAAAATCTACAGTCTAGTAGATTGTTCCTACAGGCATAATTTAGGTAGACTGCCATCCCATCCTGTGTTGGAATTTCTAGAGTTTAAATTTGACTGGTTAAAAAAAATCCCACAAAATCTTTCATGGTATGACTGATCTTGTAAAGTAGATTAGTAATAGATGCTACCTACTAATCCATACTTTTGGCAGTGTAAATGGTTCCAAAAGCCGCTTACGTAGACTTAACTCTGAAAAAGAAACAAACAAACAAAAAAGAGGATTAGTTTCTTCTTTCTTGTTCAGCTTTGTCTTAAATTTATAAAGATTATGTTCTTGTTACAGTTAACCATCAGTTGATCTGCTTTCTTTTTCCTTGGTTATTAGCCCCTAAGATACAATTTTGTAACCAAATAAAGTTCAGCTGCATCAAAATAGCAGAATGCCAGAATATATCTGGCACCAATTCTTCCCCAAACATCTTGTTATGAATTGTTAATTCAGGGGTAGAGATATTCAAAGTTTTATAAATATGCAAAATATGAAAAAAGGATAGAAACAACAATGGAATTGGATTCAAACAGAAGAGTTATGTTTGAGATTATGGATTACTTATTATTTCTAATATTCCTTGTGTTTAAAAACAATGACTCTTTTCTTTCTGATATTGAAGTAGCCAAAAATACATGAGCTATAGTGCAAGTAAATACAAGGCTTCTTCAATGAATTTTTCCATCATCTCCAAAGAGTAGATAGGAAATCCAGAATTTAAGGTTTATATTTTAATTAGAAAAATAATAATATCTAAGCATTTTAGTATGGAAAAAAATGTTACTTGATTGAGCCAAAAAAATCTGACAGCATTCTGCTAATGATGTGCAATGAACTTGATTATAATTTACCTCCTCTGCAGGTCACTCTAATTATATCCTGTGTTTGCAACAGTAACCTGGCATTAAAATTTAACAAAATCAGCAACTAACATTCTTCTCCTTTAGGGGATAAGAAAATAAAATTCTTCTGTCTTGACATCACCAAAAATGAACCCTAAAATTTAGTCTCATAGATAGGATTTTTGAAAGAATAGCAATAGCACTTAAATTTATAAAGTTTAAACTATAAATTTATACACTTCACAGTGCTTTACAGCCCTCTCTAAGCAGTTTACAAACTCAGTATACTTCCCTCAACAATCTGGGTCCTCTTTTACTGACTTTGGAAGGATGGAAGGCTGAGTCAACCTTGAGCTGTTCAGGATTGAACTCCTGGCAATGAGATGAATTAGCCTGCAATACTGTATTTTAATCATTGTGCCACTACAGTTCAAATGATTAAAATCATGTCACATGTCACTTTTCACCCTGTGTATAATTTTCTTGTGAAAGTGACTGATCAGAAAATATCCAATATCCACCAAAGATTTCCATGTCAATAGATCCACCAAGCCAGATTTTGAAGCATTTGAATTGAGAAGACTAAAAGAAGTCCATAGCCATGCTCTTTCTCTATTTGAAAAAATATATCCAGAGAAAATGTCCTTTTCTTATGTGGGATGCATCTGAGAAAGAATGAAAGTTTTGTAAAAGCTGCATATGAAAAAAGCACAAATGTATAAAAGAAATATATTTTATTGGGTAAATAGATATTTTGAAAAATCTGACTGAGCAATATTTTTTTAAAATTATACCAGGAAGATACTATCTTTAAATGTTTCTAATGGAAATTATATTCAAAACTGTGCATTAGGAAGAGTTGAATAGAAAAGTTTGATATGAAAGGAAAGCTGTGAATGAAAATGATAAATATCAGTTATTTTTAATCCCATTCCAACAAACCCCCAACACATAGACATATATACACTGGAACATGGCTCTAGAAACACAGACAGTAAATAGATCAGATTTCTGCATTCACAACTGAAGTAACACTTGGAGATCTATTGGTTTTTTTTAGTAAAAACAGGCCAAATAATTGTGGAGGAATGGAATGGAAAATTGATAGTGTTTGTAGACTATTCCTTAAACCTAAAACACAATGCTGATTTTATCTACTTAGTGTAGTTATTAAACTACCAGCACCAAAACTGAAATTCAAAATTAATCTGGAAATTTTCAAAAGGAAATAATATAATATTTATATTTATAAAATGATATGAATATAATATTTATCATCAGAGTTTCACACCTCTAATTTACTCAGAATGGAAAATATGGGAATAATGATGAAGTGGCGGGGGGGGGAAGTACATTTGTGAGCTTTAGTTCCATCAATTCCTATTATACGTTCTTAATGACTATTGCAATGGCCTACATCAGTGGTATAGGGTGAGAGGTAAAAGAGGGAAGAAGCAAGGAAGAATGAATGAACAGAAAGAGAAATTGGGGGAGAGAAGAGTAAGACTAAATTGCATACCTTAAATTCAAAGATGTTATCAATGAACATAAATAGTAAATAATGAATATGAAAGCATCTTGCTGGTAGCTTTCAACATAGAACCATTGGTTTAGCAGCAATTCCAAGTTGCAATGGCATTGAAAAAATAAACAACCATCACAGCATTACATTATCATAATTTGCTGGGGTAGGTGCTGGGCAACTAGCATGTATTTACAATGATTGCAGTGTCCCGGGATCATGTGATCGCTATCTCAGCTAACTTTGGACAAGCAAAGTCAATGGTCAACTGCAGTGATTTGCTGAACAATAATGGCAATAAAATCAGGTGTGACCCAGAGGTGGAATTTAGCAGGTTCTGACCTGTTCTGGAGAACCAGTAGTGGAAATTTTGAGTAGTTCAGAGAACCGGCAAACACCACCTCTGAATGGAGATTTTACAGTATCCTTCCCTTGCCACGCCCTCCAAGCCACGCCCACAGAACCGGTAGTGAAAAAAATTGAATCCCACCACTGGTATGACCTACTTAACTACCTTGCTTAGCAACAGAAAGTTTGGTCCCAATTGTGGTTGAAAGTCAAGGACTACCTGAAAAAAGGGGGGGATTTAAATACTGGAATGTTGAAAATTGAAAGGAAAAGGAGGGTCATTCCATTATTAATTCGTGGGTTCAAAATGGCTCGACTTTATTTTTTATTTCCTATAATTACATCAATTCACCAGTATCAAACATCTGATAGAATCAAATAGTTTTTTTGTAAAAACCATAAGGCTTCTCCCCATCTCCCAGCACTAGAAATGAAATATTAAAACTTAAAGAGCTAGAAACATTAAAAATGAAAAACAATCCTTATGATTTTACCAAGCATGCATGTTCCCACATGGTTCCGCCTTGCCTATTTAAGAATCTAACTAAGCTCTGCTAGTAAAATGATACACTGATTCCCTACAATCTAATTAAGCCTGGTTTCGATTGTTTTGAGTTCATTTCTCTTCAGTGCCATCGACAATGGAGGAGAATCAGGAAATGTTTGTTTCTCAATGATTTATTTGGCCATGTTTACCTCTTAAAAGTTTGGCTACAAATATTTAAACAACAAAAAACCTGCTGAGGACAGAATTTAAGCTCAGATGACTGTATGTTTTTAAGAAATAAATGGTGTGCCTTTCCAATTCCTTCCATGCTGACAAGAAAATTTGGGAAATTTTTTAAGGCAATAATCCATGCAATTCATCAGTACAGATTAGTTTTTTTGCATCTTGGTTCCCTTTACCATAATTTGATAAAGGTGAACTAGAAGTCCACTTCTCTTCCCATCACCTTAAGGAAGTGTCCTATGTACACCACAACTTGTGGCATTGAATTTTGACAAAAACACCAGATAACAGAATAACAGAGTTGGAAGGGACTTTGGAGGTCACTGGTCCAATCCCTTGCTCAAGTAGGGAACCCTGTATTATTTCAGACAAATGGTGGTCCAATCTTTTCTTAAAAACCTCTACTGTTGCAGCACCCACAACTTCTGGAGACAACTCGTTACACTGATAAATTGTTCTAATTGTTCCTAATGTCATGAAATTTCTCCTTAGTTCCAGGTTGGATGTCTCCTTGATTAGTTTTTATCCATTGCTTCTTGTCCTGCCTTCAGGGGCTTTGGAGAAAAAGTTAACCCCCTCTTCTTTGTGGCAGCTCCTTAGATATTAGAACACAGCTGTCATGTCACCCCATCCTTGTTTTCATTAAAATAAACATACCCAATTCCTGCAACCATTCTTCATATGTCTTAGCATTCAGTCCTCTAATCATCTTTGTTTCTCTTCTGTACACTCTCTAGAGTTTCAATATCTTTCAAATTATGGTAACCAAAACTGGATGCAATATTCCAAGTGTCAACTTATCAAGACATTATAAAGTAGTATTAACACTTCACATGATCTTGATTCTATGATCCCTCTATTAATGCAGCTTTGGACTGTGTTGTCTTTTTTGGCAGCTGCAGCACACTGCTGGCTCATGTTTAAGTGATTGTCCACTAGGACACCAGATCCTTAAATGTCTTTGTGTCCTATGTTCTAAACTTAATTGTCTGGAATCATTTCTACTAGAAATGCCAAGAACTGAAATTGGATATATTTTTTGTGTATACTCTTAGAAAATTCACTGTTAATTGAAAAACTCTGGAAATCAGCTTAACATATGTTGCTCATAATTTTAATATTTAATGCAAACAATAAAATGTTCAATGAAATTATCCAATGTGCTATTGCTTGTTCTAGCACCAACATCTCATTAAAAAACTCTCTATGCAGAAATGCTTATGAGTGAGAAATGGTAAAGGAGAGATATCAACTATTTTGTTTTGGGTCTGCAGAAAATAAAATAAATAGAAATAATATTATTTGTTTTGAAAAGCAAAGGGTAAGATAATAAGAACTGATATGATAGAATGTAGCATGGTGCAAAGCAAACCCCTAAGCTGGAAACCTTAAAATGTCCAAAACCTTATCTTTAAACACTTACTTGGAACCTGCAAATATGTTTATTCATTGCATAAGCTTGCTGGTGATAATGTTGAAACATTTAAGGCTTTGCTATACTATAGCAATTAGCTCACAATTAGTTAAATATGAAGACTGGTGTACATAAAAACAGGCTCTTACTATTTGAAAAATCATAATTCTGTATTAATTAAGAAAAGTGGGATTAAGTTTGAGTAAAACTAGTTGATGAAATTTGTAAGTCCAGGTTAAAATTAGGGTCCACTTGAATAGTGAGTAGTCCACTTTCTAAACAGTTCAGTTATTCGTAATATTACTTTAGCATTTGTAATAAATTAAAATATTATAATATTACAGATATAGATTGTGATTTTCTTATTTGCTATTATAAAATATGATGAAAAGTAGTTCTGAAGATCCACAGCTATAGTTTATGGCAATACATTTGTATGCATCCTTTATGCTGAAGTTTGAAATGGCCACAAATGCTATAAAAATTAATTGTTGAATAAAAGGGAAGCAGTGAAAGTATTCTTCTGATAATATATAGATTCTGCTGGGGTTAAATTTATTTTGTTTTGTGTTCTAATAGATGTTCAGTCAGATAAAAGCCAGGAAGCACTCAATATGTCTCACATTGATCTTTTGTTTATATGAATGCATAAAGATAATTAGAACAGGAAGGGTTATATTACCTGAATTAATTGAATAGGGTAGCCAGAGGATATTTTATGGACTTTTCAGAAAGCAAAAGAAAAAAATCACTGCTTTAAACATTCATGGGATTCTTAAATTATACTTCTCTAAGCATTTGCACTATTCTACACATACACAGTATTCTTAAATTAGGAGTTAGAAGAATGAACCTCAAGTTCACTTAGTTTGTCTTTCATTCAAACATAGTGGCCCTGTTCTCACAACAAGCTTAATTTGGTCAATTGTATGTTTAGCATGAGAACCTCAAAATATCACCTAGATCAAAATATCACCTAGATTGCTTTAAAAAACTAGAACTCTTACATCATTGCTAGCCTCAATGCTGAGTTACCATACATTTGCTCATCAGCCTCATGTTACAAACCAAAGGGACTATGGTTCAGTAGTTAACAAGTCTGTTTTGTTCCTGTTTTCAGGTTGGTGGTTTGATGCCTGTGGCCCTTCCAATCTCAATGGAATGTTTTATTCAGCTGGACAACACCATGGAAAAATAAATGGGATCAAATGGCATTACTTCAAAGGTCCAAGTTATTCATTACGTTCCACAACTATGATGATCCGTCCCTTGGACTTTTAAAGAGGCAATAAGATAGTAGCCATCTGAAGGACACCTTATGTAATCTTTAGAAGCAGAAGATTGAAACTCCATAAAAATTCCAACATCCTAGCTGTCTTCGGATCTTATTTCATTGGCTGCAGTAAACGAACACAAGTTGCTGCCCAACCCAGGAACAGGTGAAAGTGTGGATTATGAACAATATAAAATAGCTTTTGTGGCTATTCAGTGGACAACTTTAAGGTTCGGTTGCCACAAATAAACTGGTATCTTTTAACCAAAGCCTTTGTTATTGTTGTTGTTGTTGTTTTGCTTTCATCAAGAGGAATTTTACAAAAAAAAATACAGGACATGCAAACCAAGTGGCCTTTTGAAAAAAACAGAAATAAAGTCTAATGGATGGCAGAAGATGTTTGTCAGGAAAATGATATCAATTCAATGCAATGGTATCAATTCAACTGCTATTTATTTGTAGCCCCTTAAAATGCAACTATGGCCTTACAACCTGGAATCAGAAAATGTGATTGAGATGGAAAACTTATCTTTAATACAAGAACAATCTGGTATATATGAACCATTTCTCATTAAACCTATTTTAAACATGGAATATCCTTCAAAGAGACAGTGAATCAAGTTGGACAGAAAAATATGGTGAGAATGGTCAATTGACCTGTATGGCTAGGCTAAAATTTGGCAATCCAGATAATTGGATTCTTTCAAATATTTCAACTATGTTTGATAGCATGATAACAAAAGGAATTATGGATTTTTCTTTCTGACTGCTACAGCTTTACTTTGCTTTATATGACATTCCAGTATGAATGTCATATGAAAAACAAAAAGAAAAAGTACAGCTCTTTTTAAAAAATTCAAAATCAAGGTTATTTGTACATAGATTTATGACATGGATACACAAATACAGAAAATATGCAAATTTCATAACCATGTATTAACTGGATTCAGTCTTGCTGGTTTGCATGTAAATGCTACTACTAAATTGCTAGTCTTTCACATCTGTTATTCAACCTTCACTTGACAGAATTCAACATAAAACTACGAGTTATTTCCTATCCTTTATTTACTCCTTTGGACAGTGGGTTGGAAATTAAGGAATACAAGAGAAGAAAAAGATTACAGATATGGATTGCAAATGCCCTGAATGGAAAGCAGTTATAATTGAGTGGATTAATTTAAATGGGAAAACAAGACCCTATTTAAAATGAGTAGGACTAAAGTGTAATTCCTTAGATCATTATCTAGAGGTACACATAATCCTGCCTTCAGAGACTTCTAAGATTGTGGGTATTGTGTTTTCTACTTTTTTCCAATACATCCATATCCAAAATTCAATGTGCATTCTAATGAGTGTTGAAACCTAGTTCAGATATTTGGCCAAGGTGACAAAGTCATTCATTGATATTTCATCTTCCAATGTACATCTAACATTAGACACAACACCATATTGGAGGAAAATTGGCAGTTGAATCAAACCTTTGACTCATCTCATTCCTGTTTTTATGGTTTCAGAAAAGCATAGACTTTGGCAGTAACACATGGTCCATCATTTCTATGTATGCTGATCATTTACATATAAACATGATATTACTTATTTTATCTGCATCCCATTTTTCCCTTGGGAAGATTATATTAATTTGTTGATCCGCAATATATACATATGTGCCTTTAAATATTTTCTCAAGATAAAATGGCTTATGATAAGCAAAATACAGGATGATAATTTAGAACTTTTATGCATTTTGTCTTTTCACTGAAATTAAATGGGAAATTTTTCACACTGAATTCTTAAAGGAATACAGGAAAATAGTGGACATTCATATATACACCTCTTGGCCACTGTGTAATAAATAAGAGCAGAAATGTCAAAGTCCACCCATGAGGACTTTAAAAACAAATCTGTGAAAAAGTATTCTGAACCACCAAAGCAAAGGAGAACTTGTTTAAAAAAAACACTCAGGAGGTGTTTTTTTTTTTGCCACCCACCATTAATTCATGCAGATTCATGTGAAGTGGAGGGACACTATGGTTCAGTGGTAAATTATATTGACATATAGAAGTTCTAAATCCTGTCCTTGTATCTCAAAAGCTGTAGTGGTGCAGTGGTTTGAATGCAGTATTGCAGGCTAATTCTGCCCACTCCCAGCAGTTCAATCCTGGCTCAAGGTTAATTTAAACTTCCATCCTTCCAAAGTCAGTAAAATGAAGAACCAGATTGTTGGGGGCAATATGCTGACTCTGTAAACCACTTAGAGAGGTCTGTAAAGCACTATGAAGTTTAAGCACTATGTAAGTCTAAGTACAATTGATATATCTGATAAAAGAATTTAAAAGATACAAGTGCCTACCAAGTGCCTATTATTCACAGTTGAGAATCCTGGACTAGATATAGAAACTGCATCATCTGGTAATTCATCGTTTTATGGTCCTATCTTTCTGAGATATAAATGAATTTCTCATTTTCTTAAGCCAGTAATTATTCTCTTTCTATTATGTACATGACTGGTGGTTCTGAAATTAAAACATCATTGGGTTTAACCAATGCCTGAGCTTTTTTTTAATTATTTTTAATTAATAATTTCTGTTGTATCTAATACAATGGTGTCAGCTTCCTCTTAATCCAGGGAAATAATCTTTCTTCCATGTACGGGAAGAAAACAAGCACTCATTTTTAAAACAAAATATGAAAAAAACCCAAGGATTTACCACAGTATTCTTTGTAATTGGGACAGTTTTCAAGTTAAGTTGTGTATTTATGTATTTGTTTGTATTTACATATTCCTGCCTAAAGGGTTAATTTGTTATTTTCTTCTTGTGGTCCCTGCCAACTGTTGCTTTTTCTCTTATTTCAACAATCTTCACTTATGTCCAAAGATTGTGGTGCTTCTTGTGGGTGGCATTTTTTTTTAAAGTCACCAAATCCAGACTGCTACTATGTGGACTCAATTGCAAAGGTGGGGGGGTTTAAAAAAGTCACACCTACAAGCATATTTACCTGTTTATTTATCTCTGTTTGAAGAAATGGGGGACATGATTTCTTATCCTTTATAATAAAATGTTTAAAACACCCTAGATGGTTCCATATTTTGACTTGGTTGGGAAATACATTCTTGTGGCAGTCCTGCCCTTAAAATTCAATATTTTAAAAAGAAAGCTGAAGAATATTTCAAGTCACAGGCAGAGTGTGCATGAAAAGCTGTACTCTAAAAACTTTACAAGGGGAGCGATGGCTCAGCAATTAAAGACGGTGAGCTTGTCAGTGGAAAGCTGACAGCCCAGGTTTGAGACCTGAGTGCTGAGTGACAGGGTGAGCTCCCATCCTTGCTCAGCTCCTGCCCACCTAGCAGTTCAAAAGCAGGCAAATGTGAGCAGATAAGTTACCATTTTTGTAGGAAGGTAAGATGTTCCATGTGCCTTAGCATATAGTCATGCTGGCCACATGGCCATGAAAATATCTTCAGACAATGCTAGCTCCCTCATCTAAGAAATGGAGACGAGCACTGCCCCCTAGAGCTGGAAACAACCAGGCAGGGGAAACCTTTACCTTTAAAAACTTTACATAAAGGAAAGTGTTTTCTTTCTCAATAATATACCTTTCCCCCTTTTTTCTTGCCTTTTCTTTTGATGTTCCAAATGCCGATCCCAGCAAAGTGATTATTATACAATTTGGATTTTTATTTGTTTGTTAATTATGCCTGCTCCTCTGGGTCATTTACTTTTTTCTTCATCCTTAATTACTTTTCATTCTTTAATCATTCATTCATGAAAGTTGGCACTCTCAAACGATTTTAAATGCTTTTACCCCGAGCCAGATATTGTTTGCCATAGGTATTAGGGAGAAAGTATTTTAACCATTGCTTTGAAATAGATTCATCCACATATTCCAAGGAACTGAAATGCAATTGGACTTCTTCAATGAGCACATTGATGCCAGACTAACTTGTTTTACAAAACCAGAACAAAAACCAGAGTCTGATAAAGCAGTGTGGTTTAACTCCTAACAAATAGTGCTAAATTGCCAGGGGAAATTATCTCATCAAAGTGAATTTTGTGGTGGGTGATGGTGGAATTTATGATATATAAAAGAAATTTGATTAATTAGAGCAGATCACCACTGTTATTCCTCCTCCTCTTCATCCTCTTCAAATACCCAGTTTTCATGCTAGGATACTAAAGGGAATGGCCAATATTTAAATCCAGCATAAAAACATGAACTGCAAACATTATATCTATCCTGCAATTTGGATATGCAGTAACAGCAGTTTATAATGTAAGCTGAAACCTTGCAGTAACACTGTAATAACTCATATAGCAAGATTGTGCAGCCAACATCTGATGGCAAATTTAAATTTTAATGTAGCAATGAAATGATGCAATTGTACAATACAACTATACAACAATCCAAAGATTAAAAAAAAAACAGAATAATAAAAGTGAGAAATACACCATGATTTTTAAAAAATTGGAACAAGAGGAACAGAAAATAATAGAATTACAGAGTTGGACAAAGATCCATCCAGTTTTCAAACCTTTGCAATGTGCCAGAAAACCAATCAAATCACCTATAGGAGAAACTTGTCCAGGTTTTCTTGAAAACTTACAGATAATCCAAAACTTCATTTCAGTTCCAGTTGTATAGATCTGACCATCTTGGAATCTTTTGTTATATTTAAGTGAAGTCTAGGGAGTACTATTACTTTTGGTGTAAATATCTATAATCATTGAAAATAGTTCTTGAAAGTGACTGTCTTCCCTATATTTTTCCTTTGTTTAAGTAAATATGGCGGTGAAGTTTTCCCTAAGTCTTTTTTTGCTTCAGAATGAACATTCCATTCTTTACCCTATACTCATGGGGCATATTCTCAACTCTTTATATTATCTTCATTGGTTTCCCCTCAACTTTCTCTAACTTGCTGATATCCCTCTGAAAATATTCAGAATTTCATCATATTTGTCATATTTACATCATAAAAATCATTACATACAGACAACACATTTCAAAAGCTCTTAAATGGTAATATCATTCTGAGCCATTTTTCCAAAAGCCAGACTAAGATTATGAATTCAAATCAGACTTTTTTCTTAAAGCCATAGCAGGTATCTTAAGAGAAGAGTGAAACTGTCCCAGAATTTTCTTTTTTAGTTTATTGCCATCTAAGCTAAACTATTTAATCATGAGACAATCTACATTTCATTGATTGACATAATT